TGGATTTTTCATTCAGATTCTCTGTAAATTCCTGATCTCAAGATAATTCAAACACACAATTCTCACAGACTTTTTTCTTTAAAGCCCATGCAGGGCTAATCTAAACAGGAGGTACAATAGAAAGCTCCACTTTATTCTAAGATTGGAGTTTATCTATTGACTTCAGCATCCACAGAGCATAAAGCACATGAGTTCTTCTTGTCTAAACTATTTTGAATGAGGTCTCTTTTACATGCTAGTTTGGCAAGCTTCTAAGGCATTTGTGCAAAGTGATGATGCAAGAGCAACCTGATTCAATACTGAGAAATTCATAAACAACATCCATCAGTAATTAAAGTGAAAAACTACAGCTAAGAATAGCAATCATCCTACAGTATCAGTTGAGCTACTATACCCTGCAGTGTTAAAAGTGGAGTATGTTTAATGGTGCCTTCAACTCAGGAGGTACTCTTGTGAATTTTAAACATACCAAGGATTCATTCTGGGTTTTTTTTACATAGATTGAATTGGAATAACAGTGACTAAAACCCCATGAGTATATGGTACAGATATGTAGAGAAAGGGTAAGAGTGGAAGAAAAACACAGTGCCAGAAATTACCATCTGGAGACATACCGTACATTTAGTCAATATTTTTGTATTAAAATGAAGAGTTAATTTTGAAGACCAAAATGGTTTTAAGATAACATAGTGCACTCTGTAAGGCCATTCTCAGGAGTGAAGTACATGATGATCAAGGTGGAGATATTTAGGACTTCAGTTGGAAGAAGTGGAAGAGCCAGCTGATGTCTTAAACCATCTTGCTGAGAAAGCCTGCACTATTTTCAGTAAGTACACACTAAAGTCACAAAACTCCCCTATAAAATCTTTGTCTGGATTTGTCCTTAGATTAGGGTTAAATGGCAGGTAACACAGAGCTTACTTGTTTGGTTTTTATATATGCAAATCTCAAAAACGTAGTAGAATTTAGGCAGCTAGTAGTATAGCAAATAATGAGTAGGTCTTATAAGTAGTATTCTGAGGCTTTTCTACTTGTTGTGCAAGCTCTCCTGTGAACCACCAGCAGAGCCTGGATCTACTGGGAGGAAGACCTGGCCCTGTGTTGTGTAAAATTTAAATCTGTTCCTGCTAGGGTACAGTTATTGCCATTGTGTTGCGGCACATAATCCATGCCTTTCTGGTCTTCAGAGAGGTGAGAGTAGTTGTGCATACTAGTTCATTCTTCTGGTAGAAAAAAAGTGGTAGCTGACCCAAATAAATCTGAGACATAACATGCAAGATTTGTGAAGTAGTCATTATGTGATATTTGGACTTCAGCCTGTGCTTACAGGAATTTCTGTGGTTATGGTTTTGATATCAGCCAGGTGTTGGGGGAATTCAGGTTTTATTCTTACACCTTGGCAGAACAGAATAATTCAACTGTGTTGTAGATCAGTTGATAATGAAGCTAGGAGTAATTTCTGATATTTGGTTCTAGAACTGGGATTGGATAAAAATGCTCAGGTTGAGATGTGCTTGTGGTTTGGACCAACATCTTGCAGTCAGTTTGTCTTTTTGTGACTCTAGTTTTAGATACTGAAGTGTAAACATCACAATATGTAGTCTTACTTAGGAAGTTCACTGTATGCCTCAGTACTAGATACAAGATCTTTAGCAGGACTTCATGTGAGGAACAGTTAAACAAAAGCTTGTATGGATAAGGCACTAGTAAATGTTTGCAGCAAACAACAATTACAGTCTATATTCTTTAAGAATAAAGCTGTTCTGTTTAGGAAATTGCCTTTAATATGACAGAGTTACCAATGCCAGTTAGAATGGGGCTAGAGAAAGTGCATCTTTTGGATTGTGCCTGTGAGGTCTATATGAAACCATTCAATGCAAATTCCTGTTAACTTTGGAAACAGCCTGTCCAATGGTGACATTTAGGAGTGCTGAAGCAAGAGGAAACTGGTCCAGATTCTGATCCCTGCTAAACCTGTGTGAAATCACTGTAATGGATTTGCTCCAGATTTATTTACAGTGGTATAAGGATCTGAAGCCAGAATCAAGGCTGTTACGGCAAATCTAGTTAAACAGTAACAGGACTAACTCAAACCAATAATTGCCTATAATCCCCTTGTATGATTTCAAAAAAAGATTCTGATATTTTAAATTTCCTATTTGCTGAAGTCCAAGGATGCACTTTGTCTTTTGGCTAATGTAACAGACCAAAGCCTTCTGTACTACTTTGGAGCTGCTGCTGCCATTCTAAACAGTTATTAAAATATCAATCCATACTTTATACCAAATGAAATTTGAGTCTGCCAGTCCATTTGTAGGATGGATGACCACTATAGCACATTAAAAGTTGTTTATAAACACCCAAACTCTTCCATTGATAAAACCAAATCATACTGCCGCTTTTAAACGTACTTTTATGGATCAGCTCTTTGAGGGGGGCCATTGAAGCACCAGAATTTGTTTATCAAGCCAATAAAAATGCATTTGTAAACTAATAGATCTGGTTCATGATTGTATTCCTCTAGGATATGCCCAATACAACTACTGTATCTGAGTCATTCATTTGGTATACTAAATGGATCAATCAGTGGTAACTCAAGAGTCTGATTTCATCACTAAATCCTGCTTTGAAAACAGACAGCTTAGCTTTATCCTTTGACAAATTTCTGCTCAGATCCTACATTATTTATACAAGATGTCATTTAAAAAACTTGACACATTTCCAGTATCCATAATGCAAGAGGAAAAAAACTACATTGATTCATTCCTGTCTATTACTGTAATTAGGTGTTACAATTAATAGCTCCAGACTGTGGGGTTTTTTTGTTTGCTTTAATTGTTTTGTGTCTTATGTAAGGAGTTGGTATTAAATTTATCTCTAGCTTTAAGATCACCCATCCATGGGGACCTCAGAAAATGTACAATTATATCAACTGGCTTTTGAAAATGTGGTGGGCTTTTTATGGTTTTTCCTTTAAGCTTTGACTCATAAGACTAAATTCATTGGTGGTATAACTCAGCTGAAATTTTCACCAGAAACTAATCTGGACTAATGTTCATTTCTTAAACAAAACAAAAAATGTACAAAAACTAGGTGCTGAGGATCTCTCTCCCATACTTGCTATACATATTCTAAATTATCTACAGAAGGAAGAAAATGCAGAAATTTCTCTTCACATAGGTCTTTCCTCATAGCAACTCAGTAAACCTTCTTCTTTTAAAATATTAGTTTCTTATAAGAATGTCAGAATACATTTTTCTATATGTGTATGTAGGACTAATACATGACATGTTTATCTGAGTATCAGAAAATGTTTGAGTATTAAAGCTGTGCAAAATATTTTCTGTAAAAGTTGCCAACTTTAAATTTTTGTTATGTCATTGTTTTCAGTAAGCCGATGTAAATCTTGGCAATTGCAAAAGAAACAAACATTCTTTGTCCAAAGTGTGCCTTTTGAGGTCATAACTAGTTTTGTGGTGTGTCTCTAGCTGACAATTTGAAGTTGTGCATATGTTGCCTATTAGAATGCCCTAAGCTGTGCTTACTGTAAAATAAATTTGAATTTTTAACCTTGTAAATTAAACCTGTGTTTTGAAAGTCAAGGTGGGTTTTTAACTTGTTCTTAAGATTAACATAATACATTGGGACATGGTTGGTTTTCCTTCCCTTTTTGCCCACTGCTTTCAAAGTGTGCCTTCAGTAGGTGAGAAAAGTCAGCAGTTTGGGAAAGGATCTGTGAATATTCAACAAAATGGAGACTGCAGTCTGCTTTCTGAATTACTTCAGTGGAAGCAGAGGGATAGCAGTGAAATATTTTTGTTATGAAACTAATCTATTACTTCTCTGAATAGAGAAAAATCTGTTGTCAGACATTTATGTGTATTTCTTTCAAGAGCAAATTCACACTTTTACAGAACAGTTGCTTCTTGGTGCAACTGAGTTGTGATTAGAGGCACACTATTGACACTAGCTGAAACTGTGGCCTAAATGAAGTCATCGCTTTTCTGTCCATGTATTTACCTATATGGATGACATTTTATAAATAAAATGCTACTTCAAAACTTTTATTTCTTTTTAAAGTAAAAGTTTGGAAAGAAAACACTTCCAGGTGTAAAAATCAAGGAAAATATATATATGACCATTTAACAACAATTATTGCATAATTGCATAATCCTTGACCTTCCTAAAAAGCAGTATTTGATTTTTATGTGTGTATTGGTTTGATAATGAGTCATCACTTGACTGCTGACTCACACTTGATAAATATTTAACTTAGGGAAGAAATTTTCTTGAGGGTAAAAAAAATAAAAATCAGTGCTAGGTCTTTGCTATTAATCCAGAGATTTTCACTGTTAGATGAAATGCATGTAATTGGAAATAACTATTACGTTGAAAGCAATGCACATTGATTAAAAAAATCCCTTTATCTGAGAGGCTTTAGGGAATATGACAGATTTGATGAGGCCAACCCAAATCCCTCAAAACCTTCTCATACTATTATGAGATGAATGAATTACCAGTCCTGTAACTCTAATGTATTTTAAGGCTAGTTAGAAGACATGGAATAGTGATACTCAAACTAAATGCTAGGAAGTATTTGCATGACTGGGTATTTATTTAAAGGGAATGATTTAGATGGGTGAAAATGTACTTATTCCTTTATGTTTTCTAATACGGTAAACATACCATCTATTTGTATGCCAATAAAAACTGATCTTAGAATGCCATTTCATAGCTTGAATCTTCATTTTGTCTCAAGATTTGTTCTAGCCAGGTTGGCAATTAGGTAAAGTCCTAAACCAGAAACATTGACACGTGCTGTTAAATTCAAAAGCGAAACATTGAAATTAACATGGAAGCGGAGATGACATTCAGTGTCAGAAGTAACAAATTTGAAAGTCTTAAATAATTCAGTATAGAGAATATGGTTTAGACAGTTTTAATATAAGTGTGCTTTTTCCTAAAAACACCCCCCCCAAACCGAACTTTTTTTTTTTGCTTTTTCTTTAAGTCTTTGTCTGTAAATATGAAAGAGGGCTACACCCCAACGTAATTCTTCATTGCCATACTAAACAGTAAAATAGTCTTTCTAATTCACATTGCTCATGGCAGTCTTATTTGAAGTTCCTTTATTAAGTTTGTGATTAAAGCAGTTTGGGATTTTTGTTGGTTGTAAACTTTTGGCATAATGTGAATACCAGTCCCTTTCAAAAACAGCCTTGAGTTGCTTAATGATGCTTGTGCTGTTCCCCGTGTCTGCTTGGTTGATAACAAGGCCAGCTCCAGCATTCTGCGTAAAAGCATTTCCTACCCAATCAAAATTACCTACAAGTAAAGGCAGGAATATACAATGAGTTTCTAACATTAAAACAAACAAACAACCCCCCCAATCTCCCAAAGGCAATCCAGCATCAAACATTGTCATTTCCCCCAGTACAGAGACAGGAATAAGTTTTTTATACTAGCAGGAAAGAAAAAATTCCATTACATACCATGTGTAGTGCAGATCATTTCTGGAAGTTTGACAGCTCTAGGCCTTCATAAGTGAAAACAGGTTCTTCTATTTAATCAAAACTAATTTGTTCTTCCTTTTGCATATATTGTATTATTACTCCTTTTACTTTCCTCATAGGCCTTTTCAGTGCCAAGAATGATTTTTTTTTTTTTTGCTGTATAAAATATTTAAAGTACCAAACCAACAGATCTTTTACAGGTTACCCATTGATAGGTACTATTTCGGGAAAGAGAAATAGGATTTACTGTTTTATGCCAGTTATTACCACTTCTGTTGAAATCTAAGGTAACAAATGAGCACTTCAAATCCTGGTGATACAAGGCAAAGAGGATAATTGGACTAATGGAAAACAGGTAAACCAAGTGTTTCAGATACTTCTCTTTATTTCACTAGAACTGTAGCTGTTCAAATTATGTCCTTAAAACACATGCAATATGTTTGAGAAACAATGCTGTTACTAGAGGTAATTTTAAAAAATACTATGTGAATATACATAAAACATGAAGGTATCTGAGAAATTTATACCTTTTCTTTCAGCATAATTTCAGCTACTTCAGTAGAAAATGTTAAGAATGCTAAAGCTGTCAAGGATGGTAAATTGAAGCCTCATTATAAGGGACATTTTTTTCCTATGCTTTTAATTAAAAGATATATCAGGTCCTTAGCATGCATTTGTATCAATTTCACAGAGTGTGATAATTTCTTTCTTTTATTTATGTGCAGCTAAAGATGTAAGGACAATGGGAAGAAACAAACCAATCTGGCTAAGAATCCATGCTGTGTTCCAAGTGCCAAGGTACTGAGATTTGATCTGGCTATGTGAAGGAATTTGCAGTGGAGTGGGGAAAAATATTTGGGGTGGGCTCATAAAACCTTTGGGAGATGAGAGAGGAATCAACTGCAGTATTTGAAGTCAAAAATAAGACTTGGGTTGGTTAAGAGAGGTGTGTGTGTTTAGAGCCCATCAAGGTGGATTTTTCAGAGTAGCTCTTAGTTGTATCTCTAAAGAACTTGGGATCCCCCATTGCTGATGTGTGCATGGCCATGCTTCTGGGTTGTGGCCTTTGCCCTCCCTCACTGCCTCTGTATTCATGGGCTGTAAGCCCTTTGCATTGAATCAGTAAGCTCCCTAAAGCATCAAGCTGCAGCATATCAGAATGCATGTTTTCTCTCTTGGCTTTTTAAAGTGTCCTGAGTTGCTTTTTAATTCAGTAGTGGTTTTCTGATCCTGTAATCTCATGCACAACTCAGAGTTTTAAAAAGGCAGTTTTTAGCCTGCATTCAGTGAGCATTTGACTGGTGAACTTTTGCCAGGTGCCATATGGCAAGTTTACTTAAGCACACCTTTAACCTAGAATACCAGGTAGATATGTACCTAATGTTAGGTACATACAGACACCTAATGTGTCTGAAATGTCATTACAGTAAATGGAATAAGACTTCAGAAGATGAGGATGGACAACAGCTGTATGGTATTTACCAGGATTGACTATAGATTTAGTAATAAGATGGAAAATGGAGAACAGCCCATCTGCACTGGATTGCAGAAACAAGAGAATATGTTAATAATCCAATTTATTCCTGCTTCATAAAGTGTGTTATGTTTGTGTTTTCATCCTGTTTTCAAAATTCTGAAAGCAGAATGTTGGTCTTGAGATACAGATTCACAGGGGATGAAAAGTTCTTAAATGAGAATAGGCTCAAAGCTCAGTCTTCATCCAGGTTCCCAAAGAAGTGAAATATTACTTTAATTTAACAAGCATATCAGCTGTAGATTGCTCATCTACAAAGGGCTGTTATTTCAGGGGTTTGGATACAAATGAGAATTTCTTAAGATGTGGTTACTTACCAATGTATGCAGCTCCATCAGTCACCATATATTTGTTACGGTTTAATTTGGGAAGGGAAGTGTTCTTCTGTTCTTTAAGAAAGCATGCACTCTCTTCCTCAAGGTCAAAGAATTTCTGCCATAAAAGAGAGTGGAGCACAGGTTAATGAGAACTGCTCCATAAGAGACAGAAAAAATAGAGTCTGTTCTCTAACCTTTATTGAAAATGAGTTAGTACTACAGCACAGCTTGAGTTTTTATAGTTTTAATAAAACACTGCACACTGCATGTCTTAGTAAATTCTCATAGTCTGTGATTCTCTTGCCTTGGCGTCCTGAACACTATGAAGTATGTGGCTAAAGCAATACAATGCCAGGTAGTAAAGGCTGTGAAAAGAACAAAACCAACCCCATCTTTGTGTTCTGCATGGTAAAAGCCAGGATCTTTTCTTCAGCTTGTTTCCTCATTTGTTAAGGGACATTGGGGTTTGGAGTCTGCTTCAGGATCTGGATTGGCAGCACATCAACAGCTGAATTAATATCTCTACATTACACATTGGATTTCATAAATTTAGAACATTCTCAGGATTAAATCTGATATGAAGAGATAAAATTTACCAGACACAAGAGGAAAATGCATCTGGTTTACCCTGGGGGGTGAAGAGCAAGATTTATTTTAATTACTTATTTATAATTTTGGAGCTATACACACTGCTTGTACCAGACAAAAATGAGATTTCTAGTACAAATGTAAGCAATGATTATTTCAGCAAGAAAACTAGTTGCTAGACATAGATTCCAAAAACAGGAGTAGAGAATAAAATGATGAATGAGAAAGTAACCTTTACTCTGACTGAGGTGATGAGGAGATGCTCAGAACAAACCCAATTCACAATATATTACCGATGAAAGTAACTGGCTATACATTGCACTCACTTAAGACACTGAAAAACAGTATTAGAAAAAATCCATCCCAAAACTCCTTGATCATTCTTGGGCATCTGTTTTCCACAATTCATCTCTTAAACCAGAGCTCTTTTTGACACAAACCTTGAAGAAATCCTTTTAGGTGGAGATGTCTTTCAGAATAATCTTACTATTTGGAAAACCCGACTGTCCAATACTAAACTTGTTATTGAAATGTAGTGATCCCTGTGGTACTCTAAATCAGCAGTTTGATTAAATCAAATAAGGGTGTATGCACAGCACACAGTCAGTTTTATAAAGCATTCTTTACCTGGCTTGATGAGGTAGGTAGGTTTCAAGCTGGTTTGCCGTAAACTGCTTAACTATTGCAAAATGTGTTGTTACCAAACACCAGAAACTCCAGCTTTAGGTTTAATACCATTGGTTGCTTCAGAACTGCAGATAAATACTCATTCAAAAAAATCTTCTTAATCATGATCATTACAGTCTGGTTTTCCTTGGAGAACTCTAAGTTGTGACCAGGCTTATCTGCAATTAGTATTAGCAAACCTAATTAAAATGTTTTAGTTGGAGACAAAAGGTAGCGTAGCCCAGATGCTGCTGTTTATCTAACATTTTGAGCTGTGAACTCTGTCAGAATCTCTCTCTTCCCACTGGAAAATATATTGGAGTAAATTTTGTTGTCAGAGCTTGTAACAAAGCTGCTTAGAAGAACTCCAGACTCCTGCTGATTCCAGGGCTGAGTCTCTGTGCTTGGACTGACACCCCCCACCCCTCCCTGCCACGATGAAAGTTTATTAGGGCTTGTTTTGCTTAATAAGTAAGTTCTAAATAAGTCACTTAGAGGTATAATATTGTGTGATTGTTTACTTAGCTTTACTTGCTCAGCATGAGTAGCTTAGCTAAGATCTGCCAAAGCCTCAGGCTGCAAGCTGTGAACTTTCACCTAGATATGCTTTTGGCTGGAATAGAGTTAATTTTCCTTGTAATTTTCCTAGTAGCTGCTACAGTGCTGTGTTTTGAATTTAGCAGGAGAATAATGTTGATAACATACTGATGTTTAAGTGATTGCTAAGCAGTACATACTCTAAATCAAGGACATTTTAGTTTCCTATGCTCTGCCTACTAAGCTAGTGTACAAGAAGTACAAACCAGAAGATAAGGAGGCTGAAATCATCAGCAGAAGCTGCAGGTCCACAAGATAAGAAGAGTTAACAGCATGCCCACATGGAGAAAGAATTCAATAAGGTGTTAGAAGACACCAGACTAAAAATCACCATTAGACTGAGATACACGTGCAAGGTACATGAATGGGTGCATAGACTCCAAGGGTATAAAAGCCCAGGAATTCCTTTGTTCTGCACCCCTCTCAAGCACCAGCTTGAGGTGTTCCTATTGCTGTACCACTCAATTATTAAATTATTTTTTCCTGGAATCAGATGTTGTGTAAGACCTTACTGCAGGAAACCTAGAGCAAAGTAATTCCTTTTACAGCACTAAAGCAGGTTTTTAGTGCATTGGCAGAAAATTCAGTCTTTTTCAGAGCCCAAATACTGGATAACACTGAGTTGTTTCCTGAAACAGTCTCTGAATTTTGTATGTCACTCCACGCTTACTTACCTGTACATGGCATTGTTATCTTCTACAGCTTAATTTTTGTAATGATTTCAAATATTAGCAAAATTCCACAGATTGTGTTTTGAGTTTAAAAACAAGCACAGCAATGCAAACTGTTTGAGTGATTTCTTTACAAAGGGCATTAAAAAAATCATTATGTGTAAAACTCTAATATCTGTCTTTTAAATGAGATTTACATTATATATTCACAACTAACTAATCTGCATGGAGAAATCATACCCTTAATTACAGATTTTCATAATCACTAATAATTATGGCATTACACTTTAAAAAAAACTAGAACAAACCACATTCACAGCCATAAAGGAAAGTTTACTAGATATTAGGGTTTAGTTCTTTGACACTGTCAAGACTGCAACTGTGTGCCTGAGGAACTGTTCTACAAACATGCACCCACACTGAAAGCATGGACTTGGCAAGCCAGAGAGGGGTCTGAATCTTTCTGAAAGGAAAATGGTCATGTTTTTCCCGGCACAACAAAATTGGAATGGAGACAGTCAGCAACCATAGGGTATCCATCAGGGGTACTGGTAGTAACTCTTCACAGGGATGTGAAAGATACTGCATGACTAATGCTAACATTGTAGGGAATAGTCTAAAACTGGCAAATGGGCGAAGTATTCAATGCTAGGAAACAAAACATTGCAAACTGTCTTCTTGCCAGTGTTACGAGATTTAGCAAAAAGTTGCATACCTTGATGTAAAAATAGTCAAGCACGACAATATTAGCATAGAGTTGTCAGATTGAGATAGATTGAGCAGATGTGCTGAATTGAAAAATCATACCTAAGTGTTCTGTTTGTATAACAATTTTCTAAGAGAGGAAATTACAGATTCAGGCAGGAAAGGTTAGAAGGCTTGAAAATGGAATGAGTTTTCCAACAACGGCAAAGAAGGCATTAAGTCCTTGAGAATATGGACACCAGTAGGGAAACTCATCTGTCCTCACAAATGGAACAAATGTTCCTTAGATGAGCAAGTGAACCAGCACTGGAACTAAGCAGCACATTGTTACACCTTCAGCAGAAGTACTGTGTTATTAATACTCCACCTACTGCTAACATTTCTTCTTCAAACATAAAACTTTTCCATCTTTTTTTTTAGGAGTTCAGAGCTTTAAAACTGAAATTAGTGCTTAGGATCAAAGGTTTCACAGGCAATTCGTAACATTTTGTTTACTCATAGGGCCTTTCTGTCTTCCTGAGAATTAGTGAAAGGTTCAGTTTTTCCTTCCTCTTACCTGAGCAGGAATACACCTGCACAACTCAAAAATAGATTCATCTGGAGGCTCAAGAATAACTTGTGCTGTAGATTCACATTTGTTCCATGCCATTCCTTTGTGGGCCCCAGTTGTCTAAAGACATTTTGTTCTAGGTCATACTTTCTGTGGGCTCTTCAAAAACACACACCTTTCTCACTCCAGCACTGCATCTAACAAGCCGGCCCCTGTCTACTGCTCCTTTGAGAGTTAAAGTAGGCATTTGTGCACAGAACATGCATTTACAGGGTCAAATGCACAAAACTTAGGAAGTACCAGAATTAAGGTCCCAAGAAGTACAATGGTGAGCTCTTTATCTTGAATTTGCCTTTTATGATTCAAGCTTTAATTTCATGACCACGTGTGGTTCAGTGCATAGGACAGAACTCTATGACTGAGCAGCAGTTTGGTATGTAGTTTATTCCCTGCCATTTAGCTGTGTGCTTATAGCATTTATTTAGTCCTCACACATAGCTTTCTGGTTTTTTCTTCCCAGTGATCATTTTCTTTAGTGTACTTGTATTGAGTTTGCACTCTCAGAACAGTTTCAGTTCAACCCAGTAATTATTAATGCTTATGTGAATTGGACTCTGAGATATCGAGGAATGCCTAATGAGGGACTTAGCATTTTCTAACTGTATTGATGTTGTTAATTGCCCAATATTATCAAAGTTTTGTGGCAAAAGAAAAAGAAAAAAAACCCCTGCTTCTAGATAGAGCACACTGTTACAACTCAAGTGTTCACAGCTAGGAAATCATGCTATGCAGTCTCTGCCATCCCTGACCTCTGCAGCAGACTGAAAAATTCAAAGCAGCAGTTGGTGGCTGGCTTTGATCAGGACACTGCTGGTGTAACATGGTTCCAGTGTCCTTTTTCTAACTATATACTTGCAGTTAGGCAATACTAAAACTTCTATTAGCCTGGTCAGAGACCAGGGGAAATCAGGAGGAGATTCCCATCTAAAGAGAAATTATATCTGCACAGTCTTCTCCAAGATGACTGTGTACCTCAGGCTGCTGCCACTGGCAAACCAGTGGACCCTGCAGCTGCAGGCAGACATTGGTACTCTGGAAACTTTCAAGCCAAATTGGTCCTTCCACAGGGATTAAAAAAAGGGAAAACAGTAACAAGGCATATCACAGGGATCAAAAGCTAAATGATAAAAAAAGTTACTGAGCACCCACACCTTATGCTGCTTTTTTACCTAGGAAACTTTTAATAAGAACATACATTATAACAAACCCTCTCATTTCCAGATATGCATAAATACCACTTAGTGTCTATAACGTAAACAATACTTGTTTTTCACAATTGTTGTTGATTTAAAAAACCCAAAATGATTATCAGTTTAAGAAATCAAAATACTTCAGCAAATTATTTAAGACAGTTACTTGAAAAAACAAGCAAACAACTCATCCCAGATGGCTGATTTCCAGTGTGCCCATAAATATGAACTATATCAAAGTGAATGTAGTAATTACCATGCACTCTTTTCTCTAATAAAAATGTAATATGAATGGTATTCCCACTTTCCTGTACTGCATGTCTAATGGGGCCACATAATGGTTGTTCTAGTCTTCACAAGTCTGAATTTATAATCTGAATTTAATGTAAAAATCTTCATTATTTTTTCTTGTACTTTGTACTTGACTGAAGGAAAAGTAGATGCTTACACAGCTGAACAGTAAGGTTACATGAATCCAGACTAAAACATATTTTTGTTCTGTCAGATTTACTCTTATCAGCCAGTATAAACACGACCTATGACTACAGTTCACTCTGCTAGCTTTGTTGTCAAAGACCAGATGTAGTGTTTTACATGGGCTGTCCACCACACAGGCTGCCTTTTGGCATCAATCCAGTTTTCTGTCTTATTTTCTATTTCTCTTATGGCTGGAGTAAATTCAGTTAATTATATTACATTTCATATTTTTCATATTTCACATACTATTTACTTAAATTTAAAGGCTTTCATACTAACAGAAAACACATCATAGTTGTTAAGGTTGTTCTATTCTTTTTGGGGGGGCAGGGAATATCTTATATTTCAAAGCAATATGGATTATACTTACAACTTTCAGACTGCAGCTTGGAACTTCAGTGCAAATAGCTTTCAGAGATGAAACAAAGTTAAAAGTAAGGGGATCTGTGTCTCTTGAGAAACTTATGAGAAGTCGTACTTTAATACTTCGTAAAACTAATGCTTCTCTTATCTTCCCATCTAAATATGGCCAGTACCTGTGGATAAAGAATACAATACATTCAGAGAACTTAAAAAAAATAAATTTTTGTGCAGCCAAGTCTAGACAACTTAGAGAAAACAAAACACATTTGAACTACACTTTCTATTCACTGAAGGAATGTCATTCTCATTTGAAGGAATTCTCACTAAACAGATCTGCTAGCATCTCATTTTGTGTCATTCAGCCCGGTACCAAAACTGCCACTGTGGATATAGCGAGACTGTGGATGAGCAAGTGCATCTTCCACCTGTGTCGGTGCCAAGACACTTGCACGAAACACAGGTCCTTGCCCACCCCCAGCTGGGAGAGGCTCCCGTGCCCCTCGCTCGCTGCCCGCGGCCAGGGCAGCACCGCGAGCCACGGCTAGAGGGCACTGCTGACCGCCCAGACACAGGGACACAAGGATTTTCTGTTGGAGGCACAAGGAAGGGAACTGGAACACTGGATCTCTCCCTGACTTCCATTCTTTCTTTTTTTTCCCCTAAGTACTGGGACCATACAGGCTGGAGACTGGAATGCCTCCTGTAGCTTCTTCCTTCGGAAACAGAAAGCTGTTATGCAGGGTGTCTGCGTCCTTCAGTAGCAGATGAGATGAGTTGTTTGAGGAGGATGCTACGGATTTTCCTGATGAGAATTGCAGAAATTCTGTCATGAATGGGATGGTGGCTTCCATGGTGCTAGCCTCACAATTGCTAATTAGCTTTGTGCTCCTGATCTTTGGTGGGAGCAGGTCAGGACAAGGAGAATTAGAGAGAGAAAATGCATGTTTTCTTCATTCCAGCAGCATCAAGGCATCCTGGCTAATGAAATCTGACCTCTTCAATGCCAGAAAATAGCTTACAAGTGAGAACTGGGAATTGACAAGGTAGAGAAGCTGTGGCAGTGCCCCAAATGCAAAGCCATGCTGTAGGAAAAACGTTGAAGAGTTCACACAGGTGGCATCCCTGGATCTCCCTAACCCAGTGAATTTCTGAATTCTTCCATCATGAAAATAAGGTAAGGAGGAGTATAGGAGAAAATGTCAACTGCAACACTGTGATGGTTCTACATATGAAGACCCTTTTCAACATAAAGGAGAAAGGGGAGGGATACATATTGTGAAATTGAGATTCCTACAGTGGTGCCCATGATTCTTGCACTGTAATGGAGGCTGTACACAATGACTTCATTGGAAAAACTCTCTCATGGACTTGAAACACTTTATGTTTGGTATCAGTCAAATGAACAAAGCATCTCTAAATATGAAAAACTGGGAAAAAAGCACATAACCACATGTTTAGTTTGGCCTAACTGTGTTCCAAAAAAGTGCATGCATGGAATAGTAAGCTTTGCTAGATTCTCAGTTCACTGTGAGCATTATCGAGAGTTGGAGGGACCAGTGGATACTTGCCTTCTGAGCTGGATGATTTTGTTGCACCATGGCTCCAGTTTTGGGTCATGAGTGCTTTTTAATGCTCCACACGAACAGGCTGTTTAAAAATTACTTGGTTTTGTTTGTTTTTAGGAACTCTCAGCTAACCAAAATTTGATATAATTCAAATCCAATCTATGCTGAATTTGGAATTTTCATGTATGTGTGTATGTCAGTGAAATAATGACATCTCCCACACTGTATACAAAATTCACAACATATTATTTCTCCCTTAACACACACATTCTCTCTCTCATTTTGAACATTTGCATGATACGCATAAAATGTCAGTAGCTGTGGTCTCAAGATAGTGAAGTGAATATAATAGTGTAAGAAATAGGATTCATGTATAAGCAGACTGTTGCATTCCTGGGTCCCAGTCACTTGCAGATGGTCAGACTAGACAATTTCTGATCTCCTTCGACAGGCAGATCCAAAGCTTAGGACCCAGAACTGGAAATGTCTTCTTAGGTCCCAATTCTGCTCCCATTTAATTCAATGGCAGAACTCTCACTGATTTCAATAAGAGCAGAATTGGGCCCCAAGAAATTGGTCCACAGTAGTAACTAAGCTATGGGTTCATTTTCTCCAGCAGACCTTATTTGCATTATGAAAACCAGGTAGCCCTGGGCACAGACACTCACCGTTTAGCATTGGTGTCAATGACAATCGGCAAATAGTCCATGACAGCTATGTATACAAACTGTTTTGCATCATCGATAACACTGTATATAGCTTCAATATCCAGGACTCTGTCCTTTGGGCAGAAGAGTTTAGGTGAATTCTGTGAAAGGAAAAGTTCAAATATGGCATTTAAAATAATTAATTTATTTTCTCTTCCCCTCAGTCTTGGAATGGTAAATTGTATCCTTTATTTTAGTAGAGATTACTAAGTGATACCTTCAACTGCCCTGCTAGAATACTCAAAGTTACAAAGGAGACGTGTTTGCTTACTTGCCCCTCAAAAACCTCAGCATTTAGATGTAACTGTGGGTAAAAAATAGAAGACACAAACTTCAAAACAACTACTGTCTGTCATCAAAGAAGCTCTAGTTGAAGTTACATTTCAGAAACTTTTGTTCCAAAGAGCCCCAGGACTGGTTACTATTAGCCAGAGCAATATCTGCGTTCTTGCACGTGAGCCTGATGCTTCACTTGTAAGCAGGAATTAAGTCTATTATGTCAGTTCTATTTGAAGTTCCACACGAAGTCACCACTTGCTCAGGGACTGTTACAGGGAGATGCTGCAGCTTTGCAAGAAACTTATCTTTAAAACCTAACTTCAGGTATAAATCACCCTGTACTGAGCCAGTGAGTGGTAAGCCCAGATTTCAGCTTTTCTCCCTGTATCTAG